GGGCCCATGTGCAAAGGTCGGGGTCAGCAGATCACCCCACTCCGGCCTCTCCTGGTCAGCAGGTTGCTTACTTCCTGGCTCACAGGAGACTGGCCTCTAGGGGCCGGAGAGACAGTGCAGGGGGTAGGGCGCTTACTTTGCACATGGTGGACCCTGCTCTGATCCCCAGCATCCCATATGGTCCCCCGAGCACTGCTAGCACTGAGCATTGCTGGGTGTGCACCCCCCACCCCCCGATAAAATAAGGACAGTGGAAAAAATGATGTAAATAAAATAAGGAGTGTGAGCTATACATTAAAGGTCCCTTCCTAATGAGACAGAAAAAAAGGTTCTCTGTAGCATCCCTCTAAAAGATCTTTGGGTTTGTTTTTGGGTTGGGGGCCACACCCCAGTGGCCACACCTCAGGAGCTTCTCCCAGCCCAGTGCTCGGGGGACCTTCCGGAGTGCCGGGTATCACAGCGGGAACTCCTGAGTGTGCTCCGGCCCCCGAGCCATCATTCTGGCCAAAAGATGGGGTTGTGGGACTCTGTAGACCTCAGTGTCCCCACTGAGAGCCGTCAGGGGAGGAAGCAAGTGAGCACCGTCCCCAGCCCTGGGTGTGTGGCACTAGAGCAAGACAAGTCTGCGCCCCCCCCCCCCCCCGTGCCCTGGAAGCTAAGCAGGTGGGACTCTAGCTGAGGGGCCCCGGGGCCCTTGGAGACAAGGCCGGAGCTCCGGGCCCCAGCTCTGCAGGGACACGGAGCCGCAGCCACCACCTCCCCCCAGTTACTCTCCTTGGCAGCAGAAAGCTCACCGCCGCCCGGGACCAAGCACAGGCGAGGAGACAGGCCTCCCGATCTCCCGTGTGCACAGTCTCAAAAGGCCTTCGGGACCCCCACCCCCACCCCCGCCAGGCCCTGCCGAGTGCTGAAGTTCCCATTATTTGTGGGTGCCCTTGTGTCAGTGAAGATGGGAAAGCGACATTTGGAAAGCTTTAGAAGCAAAAAGCGGTTGCCTTCTATAAATAGTCTCACCCAGAAAATTCTCGCTCTTCCACCACGAGTAAGCCCTAGTGCAGATCTTGGCGCCGCGTCCTGCCTGCGGTCGGTGCTGGAGGCGACTCACCCGTGCCTGCTGGTTGTGCCCAGTGCTGTGCTGGGACACGGTGTGGGGGCTCGTGAGCTGCAGACAAGCGTGAGTGGAGCGTGGAGACTGCCCCGGCGTCTGGGCGTGGCACACGGCAGGTACTTAGAGGCCTCTACTCTCAAGACGCGTCACCTCGGAAATAGAGGTTGGAAGCCTGGCTGAGAAACGCTGTTTGTGTGGGTCGGCATGAGAGCCGGCCGTGGAAGTGACTCCAGAGAAGCCGGAAGAGCAAGGGGGCACTGACTGGCATTTATCACCCTTGCCCGATTTCGGCCACGGTCCTTAGTGGACTCTCGGGCCCACCCCGGGAGCTGTGCCTGCTTCTGCAAGCAGGGTGGGGAGGGCCGGGACCCCCAGAAAGGGCGGGAGTGTCTGTGTGCCCCTTTCCCGGACCCTCCCCCAGGGCTCAGGGCACCCCAAGGCTTGTGGAGAAGCCTGGCTTTGGCTCGGGAAGGCAGAGAGATGGATAACAGCAGCTCGGGGAGGACACCTGTTCATCCCCAGTCAGCGCCTCTGGGGGGCAGATCCTGGGGCCGCCTGCAGCTGGTTCTGCGAGGGTCAGACACGGGTGCGGACGGCCAGGAGAACCCTGACTGCCCCGCTGCTGCCCTTGCTGCTGCTCACGCCCTGCCCCCGCCGCAGGTTGGGAAGGAGCTTGGTGGGAGGGGTCCCTGGGCACAGACCCACAGGGAAGGCCCAAGCTCGCCGGGTGCAGCCCAAAACTAACTATGGAACTAAGCAGAGGCGCCCCCTGGGGACCTAGCTGCCCCCCGGAGGGGGGACTGCGGGAAGGGAACTGGGGGGAGTTGGTTCCTCACAGCCCCCACCCCAGGCCAGCAGGCACCTCGGGAGAGCCCCCACCTGTGGGGCCGCAGGCGCTGCATGGGTTAGGGAAGAGGGCAGGCACCTCCGAGAAGGCACATGCATCAGACCAGAGGGAGATGTGTGTCAGAGGGAGAGCGGTGGCCCTCTGTGGCCCCGTGCCTGCAGCTGCAAAGGGGCCGAAGGGGGAGAACAGGCCGTCGGGGACTGGCCCAGGGACCTCGCTGCCACCACCCCTGCGGCACCCCGACCCTCCCGACGGCCTGGGCGTCGTCAACTGCCGTCTGTAGACACTTAGATTACTTGTCACACAGGTGTGATACGTTGGGAAGAGTCAGCGTGTTTGTGTCTCATCTGGGGAGTGGGGACTCCATGGGGGGGCTCGGGGCACCATGTGCAGTGCTGGGAGTTGAGCTGGGGTCGGCTGCGTGTAAGGCGAGGGTCTTACCCAATCATTGCGCTGCCTCTGACCAAGAAACGCTGTTTTTTCGTACTAACGAGCTGCCTTTTTGCTCGGCCTCCCTGAGTCAGCCCTGAGTGGCCCCGGCCGGGTGTGGCCCCGGGTTGGTGTCTGCGCCCCCAGGCCACCCTGTGTCTTTGGCCTCAGCTTGAGCACACCAGTGACCACCTCGCCCTCTCCTCAGGAAGTGGCCCTTTGCCCCAGCTCCTTGCACAGCCTCAGTGACCCCCACCTTCTGAGGGGCAGCGGGACCCACTCCTTCCCACCCAAGTCCTTGCCGCTTGCACACGGCCTCTCCACTCGCCCTTCGCGGCCTCCTGTGCAGGGCTCTGCACACACTCCGGAGCTCATCGTCCTGCTCCTCGGCCCTCCAGGACCTTGGAGCCGGGGGGTCCGTTCAAGTGGCCCTTGTTCTTCCTGCTGCTCAGCTAGGCTCATGGTCCCCTTGCCTGAATGTGTGTCTCTCTGTATGTTTGAGTGTTTGTGTGCCTGTATGTGTGTTTGAAGTGTTTGTGTCTCTGTGTGTGAGGGTCTTTGTCTGTGTGTTTGAATGTGTGTCTGTGTGCTTGAGTTGGTATGTCTGTCTGTTTGAGTGTTTGTGCGTGTGTTTGAATGTGTGTGTGTGTGTGTGTGTGTCTGTGTGTGTGTCTGTGTGTGCTGTGCCTGTAGGTGTAGCTCTGGGAGGAGGTGGCCCTGCAGGTGCCCGCGTCTTGCCTGGCCCCCAGAGATCCAGAGAGCGGCTCTTGCGCGTCCGTGAGAAGTGGGTGCGGAGGGCCAGGGGCAGGTACACAGCTCCTGCGCACACCTGTGCACACCCCCACCCCCTTCCCGGGCCCATCACAACTGCTTGGCAGCAGCCTACGATTCAGCCCCCATATTTGCACTCAGATTCCACAGCAGACAAACGAATTGTGCTTCTGCGGGCCCCGAAGCTAGTTAATGGGTGGAAGGCAGTGGCTTTGGCGAGCTGGGCCGGAAGCGCCATTGGCACCTTGGTTAGGTGCGGCGCTTACATGGAGAGCTGGGCCTGCCAGAGTGTAGTCTGGGGTGTGCTGCTGGGCTCCAGGGCTACCCAGCGCCCCGATTCCTCCCCCACACACACATGCACGCACACGCAAGCACACACTTGCACACAGATGCATACATACACACATGCACACATAAACACGCACACATACATGCACACACGCACACTCGACCCTCCTGCCACCAGAACCCTCGGGAACCCAGCCCTGCCAGGGGCGCCCTCTCCCCCTGCCACCACCCTCAGGCAGCCCTGCCGCCCTTCCTCGGACCCTCCGCCTGCAGCCTGGGGCCCGCCCGCCCGCCCACCTCCCTTCTCTGCCTCTCGGCCTCTCACCATGAATATTGGGTTGCACTTGATAAACTTGAGTTTAATCTACTCACTGAACAAGGCACACCAGATCAGAAAGTAATTTGTGGGAAGCTTCTCTCTGTGGGTTTAAGCCGCTGTGTCTTGAAGATGTTTTCTTATTTCTAGAAAAATTCCATTAACATTTTTGAACACTTACGTGATTTAGTAAGCCCCTGCGTGTCAGCTCAGGGAGCCGGAAGTGTGGGGGCCAGGACGGAGCCAGTGTGTATGTGGGGGGGGGGGTCGCTGTGGGGGCCCCCAAGAGCAGGACAGGGGCTACCCACCCCCAGGGCATGGGGAAGGCACTGGAATCCACTCACATTCTCAGGCTTCAGAGATACGCAGTTGGCACATCTGGAAGTTGGTAAAACTGCCAGGCAGTAGATCCACGTTCCCCACGTCCACGTTCCCCAGATATTCACACTCCAGATCCACATGTCCCAGATCCACGTACCCCACATCTGTGCACCCCCAAAAATCAGGAGAGGCCCCTGCAAGACTCCTCCTGCAGAGACTGGGCATAGGCTCAGCTCAGATGCCGATGTCTGGAGCCCAGAGGCAGCTGTGAGGAGAGGGACGTGGCCTCCTCATTGCCTGCCCGGGCTGGGACGCAGCACGTGGCCTCCTCATTGCCTGCCCGGGCTGGGACGCAGCACTGACCACTCTGCCTTGCTCAGCAGCGACCCCCTTATTTGTGGGGACTGTCAGCTCACCGCCCACCCTGCATGCCACGCCTGGGCCACAGCTGTCCGCTGGGGGCTGGGAGCTGGGCTGACCCCGCACTGAATGACGCCACCATAACTCCCCCGCTTTCCAGCCGTTTCTTCCAGGGGACGGACCCGCGCGCAAGGGAGGGCACCGACTCCAGGTTGGCGCTGCCCTGGCACCCACTTCTCCCAGCTCTGATGACTGAGAGAGGAGCTGATTTGTTGCTGGGGTGCAGGAGCAGGCGAGGCTAGTCCTCCAGGACCTTCTCTGCCACGTTTTCTAAGTTTTATCCGTGCCCCAGGCAGTGAACCACACACGGCGTCGTCCCCGTCAGCAGCTCCCATGTCCGCTTGCTGGGCCCTGCATCGGGGAGGACCTCACAAGGGAGCAAGCGGCCTGTGCTGCTCTTTGGCCGGAACCCACTGCCCATCCCGTTATCGCTGGCCAGCTGCTGGGGGCGGGTAGAGGGGTGCTGACCGTCGCTCACGGCTCTCTCCCTCCCCTCCCAGGTGTTCCACTGTGTCCACTTCGAGTGCCCGGAGCAGCAGAACAGCCAGAAGGAAGAAAACGGCGAGGAAGTGGGGGCGGGGGACCCCAGCCCGTCGGGTCCACAGCTCGACCCCCACGCCCTGCCCGGCAGCCCACGCGCCTCTCGCTCCCCCAGTCGGCAGCACCAATAAAGGAGGTGCAGACACGGAGTCGGGGGCCTCCCCCCCGAGCTGAGATCTTTGGGGGCCGCCGTGGCCTGGCCCCACCTTCTAATAAGGGCCGACCTGGCGCAGGAAGGGGTGGGGCAGCCGCCGAGGGGGGAGCACCAGGGTCTTCAGTCCATAACGCCCACCCACCCCGCCTCCAGCCTGACCAGGGACCAGCCTGCTGGGTCTCCGCTTCTTCCTGTCGCTCTCCCCTTGCTGACCGGGGTTTGACTCTCAGAAATTCTCGAAGGGCACGTCCCTGCCTGAGACCCCCCAGGCTGGGGCCCAGACCCCTGCACCCCGCGGCCCCAGGGCTGACGGAAACAACTCTGGGAGCCGGACAGCTGCTGTCCAGGGCCTCTCGGATGGCCCCAAACTTCCCTGTCCCCCGCCTGGGCATCCTCTCCACTGCAGGGGGCCGGGAGATCCCTGGCCACTCCCAGCGGGCCCGGCCTCGGCTGACAGTCGGTCACGGGGCTGTTCGGTGATGGGTGGCCCCAGCCATCCCCCCCAGACACAGACCTTGGGTTCGACTGCGAGACCCACGCAGCTGGAGGCAGTTTCCCCGGAGTCGCCCCTGCATCTCTCGGCCAGCCCGGATGTCCCTTAGCTGTTGCCATCCCAGTGCCAGGCGCACTTTGTAACCGGACCGTCATTGTCTGGGGGGCGCTCCTCCCCAAGCTCCAACCTCCCCGCAGGCTGGACCCCGCTGTGGGCCCCACTGTCCCTCTGTCCCATCACTGTGCCCATCCCTCTGTCCCTCTGTCCCCGTTAACTATGTCCTTCCCTCGGTCCCCGGCCCTGCGCCCCTATCCCTTTGTCTCCTGGCGCCCTGTCCCTCTGTCCTCGTCCCTCTGTCCCCCGTCCTCCGCATGTGGGCTGGGTCTCCGTGCCCCCCAGGACATGGCTCAGAGATGGGGCCCTCGAGGAGCGTCAGAGCTCAGCTGGCTGTGGTGGAGACGGGCCGGCCCCTCTGTCCGGGCCTGGTGACAGGGCCATCCAGCCGCCTGATGACACCGGAAGTGTATCCTGTTTGGACACCACAGGAAGGGGTTGCTTCAGCCTCTCCCCCATTTCCGCCCCCCCCCCCCCAGCATGCGGGCGCCACGGGGAGCACGTCCTGTGTGTTGGCACCCGGTCACCAGTCAGGGTCAAGAGGCCTGTCCACTCAAGCACCCACCTACTGGATCCCTGACCCTGGGGAGCCCCTGGGCCCCCGCAGGGCAGCCCCAGGTCCCTTAGGGGGTGCCTCTGTCCTTGTGTCTGAAGCTTCTCAGCAGGAGCCCAGGGCCGACCCCTGGCACCCCGCGGTCCCCACGCCAGAAGTGTCTGAGCCCAGAGCAAAAGTACCGAGTGGGGCCGCAGGTGTGGGCAGGGCGGGGCCACGGGGGGAGAGGAGGCAGCACCCGGGGCTGCTGGCGAGAGGGAAGAGGCTGCGCCCCAAGGCCCCTGGCCCAGCCGCCCTCTTAGCTAGACCCTGGTGGCCACGGTGGGTGGGCAACTTCGCCATTGCTCTTTAAGTTGTCACTTCTTAATCTTATTAAACTGAAGTGTCGGTTCCCCACACATACATTTAAAGTGTTTTATTCCTAGAAGAGTTGGGAAGAGAAATTATTTTCAGCAAGAGTGGGATGTGTTTGTTAGACTGATTCCTTGGTGCAAAAAAAAAAAAACCCAAAAAATGAGTTTCTGAATTGTGGAAAAATTGCTCCCTAGTTATGTGTCGCCCCCGTTGCCAGGCAGTGTTCAGACGGGGCAGCTCCAGCCAGGCAATTTCACCTTTTTTTTTTTTAATTTAGAAGGTAACAAAAATGTAATCACTTATCACCTCAGCCACGGAAAGGAGTGCTGGAGATGGGAAGGCCACTGGGCAGTACCGGGCAGGGGCCCAGAGGTGGCCAGGTGCAGCTTCTGCTCCGGGCTTTGCGCTTGGCCCTTGGGTCACTGCCGCCCGGGGGGGTCGGGGGGGCAGTTCTCGCCCTGTTCGTTGTCCAGGCTGGGGGCCAGCAGGGGGCGGCAATCATTAGCAAGAGTGGCCACGCCGTCTTCACTGCTGGGGTATTAAAGCCTCTGGTGCAGTGCGGGTGCGTGGGGTTGCCAGCTCAGGAACCTGAGGAAGGGGAATTCGAGACCATAAGCCCCCCACCCTCCCCCTGCGCCCCTCCCCCAGGGGCCGAGGCTGAGCCCGGCTGCAGACTGAGTGGAAAGGGCGGGAAGGGCTTTGGCCGACCAGCTGCCCACGCCCACACCCCTCCCGCCAGGCCGTCAGGTCCCCTAGGGACAGGAACAGGCCCCTGGGAGCTCGGAGGGGCTCAAGGTCACTCCAGCCACCAACTCCGCGGCCACCCCCAGCCAGAGCCGGACCCTCAAAGGGAGGCATCCCCCTCATCAAGTCCGTTCTCTCTTTGAAAAAGAAAATAACAACCCCCCCCCCCCAGAGACGCGGGGCCTAGAGACTCCCAATCACCCTGTAATTTATGCTAAGTGTTGCCATTTGCATCCTGAGTATTTATAGCTCAGCCGGGAGGGCAGGAGGTGGGGGTGGGAGGGGCTGCGCGGGACCCCCACCAGCCTCTCTTGTCCTGGCTCAGCTGAGCAGGCCTGGGGGACACCGGTGCCTCTGTCCATCAGGGGGTCACCAAGCACCGCTGCCAGTGGGGTGGGCCGGACAGCCTGGTGCCCGGCAGGCAGGCCACCCTGCTGGCTTCTTGTTCCCAGGCTTAAGCCCCTGCACCCCCCACCCCCCGCCCCACAGGGTGTCATACCTGCCCCTCTCATCCCTCCCAAGGTGCCTGCAGGGAGGAGGGGACGGGCCTGCCAGGCCCGGGGTCTCAGAAGGGTCTTCCCGCCCTCTCGGGGCAGCTCTGGGGAGACAGGAGGGCCAGGGATTCTGGAACTGCAGGCCTGTTTGTCATCACTCGGCCCCCCAGCAAATCTCCTTTAGTGAAACAGCACCCGCCGTTGTTCCTGAGACTTCTGCTGTCCTCCTGGTGCCTCATCCTGGGCCACCAGTCACCCCTGGTCTCCGCTGTCCCGTCCCCGACGTAGAATGCAACAGTGAAGGAGCCTGAGTTGGCGTGACCTCCAGCGGCACCAGCCAGCTCCGTCCCTGGAGAAGACCCAGGAAGTCCTGTGCCTCGGGAAGGGGAGGGGCGCGGATTGGGGGCGGCAGGGGCGTGGAAGCCAGCCCACCGTGTTTGTGCCAGGAGTGTATTGCTCACTCGGGGGGGGGGGGGGGCATGTGGCTTCAGCCTCATTCTGCAGCACAACCTCCATGAGCGAAAGGACGGACAAATGTGTGTCTCCCGTGCGTGTCTGCGGCCGCCTGCCTGCGAGCTCCTGCTGGGAATGACTCAGTTTCTTGGGGCCTGTGTTGGTGTCGCCCCTCCGCGCTGCCGGCCCCTCGCAGCCCCTCCAGGGACCAGCACCCTCTGAGGACTGGCCGTCAGCGCCCTCCAGGCCTTGACACGCCTTAGCCTGGCCCCAGAGTAGCCACAGCCCCTGCGCCCTTGACCCTTCTGACCCCTCCCTCCAGCCCTGCACCCCCCCCCCCGCAATTCTCCCCTGACTGCCCCCTCCAGTCCTCCAGTGCCTCCAGTCTCCTCCCGATCCTACTTCCCCTGACCCTCCTTCCAGAGCAGCGCCTGTCGGGTGCGTGCCCAGGCTACTCCAAGGCTCTCACCAAGCCCCCGAGACCCTCAAGACCCAGAGTCCCAGAGTCAGGCCACTGTGCCCTGAGGTGCTTTTAGAGGCCCTTTGGGTGAGAGAAACTGGGCAGGGCTCAGAGCTGGCTCCAAGATCTGGCCCGGGTTTTGCCTGCCGGAGCCCCCAGTTGCTCCCCACCACACACGGCCCCCAAGCGCTATCAGGAGCGACCCTACAATCAAAAAAAGCACACTTCATCCCCGTGAGTCCAAACTCCTGCTCCCGCTCAAGCCATCGTCTCTCCTGCGGGCCGCCCTCAGGAGACCCCTCCCTTTTATTTCATTCAACACCCTCTGCGCTGCCCGGGCACCCCCACACTGAGCCGAGCCTCCAGCAGCCCAGGTGCTGCCTGGTGGGACCCGGGGAGGGGGTCACACTGGATCTAGGAGGACTCTCATACTCCTGCACCTCAAACAGCCCAGCCTGGCCTCTCCACAGACTCCTGCCAGGTTTCCGGCCGTTCGAGTCCGGTGGCCCCGCATCAAGGCCATTTCAAACCTTGGCCGGGACAGGGCCCTGTGTGCAAGGTTACTGGGGTGACCGCCAGGCCAAGACATGGGGACATGGCAACAAGGAAGAGGAAACAACGGGAGGCCCAGGTGGAGGGGCGCAGCCACTCCTGCGGACAGGGTGAGAGGGAAAGCCAGAGAGCAAGAGCCAGGCGCGAGAGCCAGTGAGGGCCCCTGAGCACAGCCGGGTGTGGCCCTGGTCAGAGGAAGCCCCTCTAAGGAGACCGTGCGGGAAGGACAGTGCTGGTGTGGCTGAGTTGGCAGGGACGGACAGGTGGGTGGGGCCTGGGGGTAGGGCCGGGGTGAAGTTCCTGGGCCTTTGGGGACAGTCCCTCCGAGCCAGAGGACGCTAGTGGGAGGCCCAGTGGCTCGCTTCAAACCCAGCCAGCAGGTGGGCTGGGAGTGCTGTGGCCACGGTCGGTCATGCAGGTGAGACCACTGGGATTTGGCCCCCAGGACAACTCCCCCATGAAGGAAGGAGAGGGGGGCGCTTGCTTCGGGTACATCCAGCCACAGAGGCAGAGGAACCCCAACTTCACAAGGGCCCCTGGGCAAACACAGACAAGTGAGGGTGGGCACGGAAAACAGCAGACTGTCGTCCGAACAGCAGTCAGGCGTGTGGGAAATGTGGTTTTGCATTTTTTAATTAAACTTTATTTGTCAGGCATCATTATGTTAGTTTCGGATATACGAGAGAATGAGTTGACAGTCTGCCTACACTGCGAAGTGATCATTATCAAAAGGCCTTCCTTAGAACATGTTTAGCTGTGCAGTCTTGTGGATTGTGGCCTGTACTGTCCATGACATTGCCTTGATTATTTTGTACCCTGGATTTTGTGCCTCTTCATCCCTTCAGAAGAAAGGAGCCCTCCACCCTCCACGTCTCTGGTAACTCTCCTTCTGTCCCTCAGATTTTCATTTTCTCTTGTTTAATTTTCTCTTGTCTTTTTGATGTCACATGTCAGTGAAATCATAAGGTATCTTTTCTCTGGCTTATTTCCTAAAGTGTAATACCAAGGCCCACCCCTTGTGTTGCCAATGGCAAGATTTTTCCTTTTTTTGATGCTTGGCCGCAACCAGCAGTGCTCAGGGCTCTGTTATCGGGGATCAGTTTACACTGTTGATTGGGGACACACTTAGGATCAAACTGTGGTTGGCTTCTCCCCATGAGCGCGTGCGTCTCTCTCTCTCCCTCTGACCCTGCTTTTATTCTTTTCTTTGTGACGGATCCATATCCCATTCCCCCTCAGTGTCAGCGGGCACAGCAATTGTCGTCAACAGCGCAGCAGTGAGTGTTGGGGCACCTTCGCCTTTTCCGTTGGCGGTTTCGTTACCTTCGGGAAAACATGCTGAAGCTGAATCGCAGACACACTGTAGCTCTTGAGGTGCCTCCTGAAGGGGCTGCACCCAAACGTTTCTTTCTCCTCTCTTCCCCAGTGTCCACCACGCTCCGCCAATGTCCCAGCTCCTTCCCGTCACCCAGCCTTTCTCTGTGGGGGCTCTCCTCCGCCCCCATTGACCAGTGTTCCCCTCCCTGACTTACCTCCGCACTCCTGCCCCAGGACCCAACTTCTGCTGAAGACCTAAAGCAGTTCTCCTGCTCTCCATTTCAACCGCCACTGGGCATTTGCTATTCCCCTACAAGGTTTCTTTTTCTTTTTTTAATTTTTAATTTTTTAATTTTTATTGAATCACCGTGAGCTAGTTACATGTTTGGGTTGCAATCGCAAAATGATCAAACACCCACCCCCCCACCAGTGCACATTCCCCACCACCAATATCCCCGGTATACCCCCCCCCTTTCCCACACATCTACACAATGGAATACTATGCAGCTGTCAGGAGAGATGAAGTCATAAACTTTGCTTATAAATGGATGGACATGGAGAATGTCATGTTGAGTGAAATGAGTCAGAAAGAGAGGGACAGACATAGAAGGACTGCGCTCATTCGTGGAGTATAAAACAAGGTTTCTTTACAGCCCGCTTATGAGAGACATCATTCTGAGTTTGTTCCTCCGCCCCTGATTTTAATTCAACACTAACCTCTCCAGCTCCACCCACCTTACAGAAAACGCATGAATTTATCTTTTCTCATAGCCAAGTAGTTTTCCAATTTG